GGCTTGATGAGTCTTTATCAACCTGATCTAGTGAGAAGGTGTCTCTGCCCATGGCAGGGAGTTTGGACTAGATGATCTTTAAGGTCCATTCCGACCCCTAAATTATATGATTCTATGATTTTATGACAGTGCAGAGTGTTATGTCTATACAACAGAATTTTTTGAATAAACTCTGTAATTTGGTTATCAGCTGAATATAGGTAACAGCAGTGACAGTATAGGTGGTGGTGATGATGATTATGACAATAGTAATAATAATAGTAATAATAATATCAACAGTAATAACCATAATAAATTTTAATAACAATAGCAACAACCTATCTTGTACCCAGAGTTAAGACTGTATCTTTTAAGGAATGATGGACTCACTTGTTATGATTGGTTGTCCTGGAAGGAGGTATACCACATAGGGGAGGAGAGGGATTGAGTAAAGTAAAAATATACAAATATATACCCATCCTTGCTTGCAACATATTGCTTCCATCTACACAATTGCATTCAAAAGGTCATGTCAGTCAAGATAATCAAACTGAGTGTGGTTTTGTTTCAACAGCTTACTTCTCTACTGTCACCACAAGTTACTTTGGAAAACAAGTAGAGTCTTGCTTGCCTGTCAATCACTATTGCTTTATGTTTTTAAACAGTGACTAAAAGTTTAATCCATTAGAGCTTTATGAAATAGTAATGATAAAAGTATCAGTTGCAAGTGGTTATTTAGCTCAGAGGAAGATATTTGCACAGTCCTAGTTTTTCCATTACTCCCTTTTTTCTCCTTTAAAACAACAGGATGATGAGTGGCAATTGACACCCATAACTGTCGATCCCACCATTTCAGTCTGATGTTTGTAGGCTCCCAGTTACTCCACTGAGCTGTCAGAGATGTCAGCTTTGCAGTTTGCCTTTGCCACAGTGCATTATGCTGTCATGCTCTGTTTAAATAAAATATCTCACTCATAAGATGAAGACATCAAATTTTCAAAGCAAGGCAAAGAGGATGAAGCGGCAAAGATGTCTGAACTCCCACTGTGTCCATATTTTAAGGCTCTTGCATCTACAGAGGAGATTCTTCCACAACTATTTGCATATGCTCTGCACTCATTTGCAAATGCAAACTACAGATCTGTGCAGGGTGATTTATCTAGAAAAGGAAAATAGCAGGAGGAAAAACAGTCCAGCAATCCACATTACTCAGGAAGCTGCTTATACTTATGTGGGGGAGGAAAAAGAATGGAAAACTTGAAAGAAATTTGGGGCTGTTAGATGTGACCAGACTGATTAGGATAGGAATAATACAAAAATATGTTCAAAGAGCAGTGGAAGATCAGAGAAATCTTCAAAAGATTCAGATAAATTTGAAGTGGCTAAACATGGGAAGGGTTTGGTTTTTTTTTTTTTGATTATCCAAGCTCCACAGGACTGATTTCTTCAGAGGCTGTATTTCTTCTTTTTTTTTTTTTTTTTTACCCATGAAATGACACATCGCACACTTCTATTTGATATTAGTTCAGGATGACTTCTTTAAGCGGCTGTTTGCTGTTAGCAACTGCCGTACTGGATGAATCCAGTGATCCACAGCCAGTGCTTTCTCTCTGATAGTCTGCAATGGCTGCTTTGGGGAAAGAAACCCTGACATTTGGAACACCTTGTTCTCCAACCTTCAGCATCAGCTGTTGGTTTATCTCTGCCTTGAGAGGTTAAAACGAAACATTCTATTCAAAATTTTTTGTTTCCCACGAATGTGCTGACTTTGATAATCCTGAGTGTTGTCACTGTCTCATCAATGCCTGGCCCCAGTCTGAAACCCTGATCAGACTCTTCAACACTTGGTGTGTGTGAGTCCCCATAGGCTTTTCCGTGCACTGCGTGAATAACAAATACTTCCTAGTGCCCTTTAACATTTGCCTCTTGTCCTGTGTAGAGCTAAGAAACGTGTGTGTGTGTGTGTGTGTGTGTGTGTGTGTGTGTATCACCTTTGCAGTAAGGCAGGGTGTATGTATTTTCATGCATACCTAAACCACAGCACTGTGCTACGATATTTCCATGGTGCTGCCATGGAAATCAAATGATTAAGAAGCTCCATTTTACAAAGGACTGGGCCGAGAGTTCCTGCACAGTGATGTGCAGCTAAAAATAGCTTCCTGCCAGGCAGATACATGTATGTGTCTGAAACTACCTTGGGCTTTGCCTGCATTTGATTTTGTGGGACTGATGATGGGAGCAAGAATAGAAAGGAGTTTATGCAAGAGGACATAATTGGAATCTGCTTAGGGGAATATCACTGCAGTCATCAAATCCCTGAGCTGACTTGAACAAGCAGGATTTGTGATGATCACAAGGACAAGGCAGCAATTTTTTTCCCAGAACTGTTTTCGTCAGTGTGTGGTCAGTGTGCTTGGTTTTTTTCCTTATTACATTATTTATCTGCAGAGTTGGCTTTGTCTTTTTTGCCTTGGGAAGTATCTCTATGCTACTCTCTGCATTCCCAGTATCTCATTATCTGTTGTGAGCTCGCACCTGGAGCTTGCAGTCATTTTCACACAGGCAGATCTTTGCTCACAGTGTGCTGGTGTGAGAGAATCTCACAGTTCTGAGTTAGCTGAAAAAGAAGAGTAATCAAAATGTAATGAGTTTAAGCCTATCCTGGGTAAGTGGTGTTTTAGTACTTGAGGCACAGGATATACCTTGATTCTTTTGCCTGCTTTATGAGTGATAGTGGAGCAGCCGTGGCTGAGCGGATTAACTCCTTTGTCTGATTTTGCCCCTAATGAATATGAAATAATAAAGCTCAGCTTTATCTCGAAAGTATTATGGGTATTAAGAGGCCAGCTATTTGGGAAAAGAATTATGCTTGCAATCTTTTTTTCTGCTTGATACCATAAAAAAAGACAAGACACTGAGCTGCAACGGTGAGGCTGTTGGGGTTTTTTTCTGTTGTAGGTTTTTTGCTTCTTTGTTTGCTTTTTTTTCATAGAATGACCACATTTTGCTTTGGTAAAATCCCGATGTTGTGGAAAATACGAGAAAATGAGCACTCATAATTCACCAAGTGCCAGTAATGGTGCAGCTGCTGCAGTACTAAGTTGCCAAGTTCAAGAGAACTCAGACATGTTTATTGCTTGTAAACACAGGCTGAATCCTGACTGCTGTGGCTCTTATATTGCTGCTGTTGCTGTGAGAACCATGCCACAGTGGGAATTTTGCCAGACTTCTGCTTATTCTATCCTCCTCCAGCACTGGACAGTGGTAGCAGCCCTACTGCAGAGCTAAGGCTTTGCAGAGCCATGGATCCAGCGTGGATAAACCACTGCCTGTGGCTGAATTTTAAGTACTAGTGAGATCAGGCTTGCTCTGAAGACGATTAGATCATACAGTTCCTAATAAATTCTTAATGGATAGATATCTCTGGATGGCTCACAGTAGAAAAAGCGTGGCAGTAAAGCAACAGTGAGACTTTTTCTGTGGTGGAGATTGAAGAGCTGGGTGAAATGGCAGCGTCACAAAGACAGCAAAACCTTAATGACTGTGAGGACAAAGTGTTTTAGTCAGAACATTCAGAACTGCATCTCTGAACTAAAACTCTTAGAACTCTTAAAGGTAAAGAGAATGTGGGTAAAACCTATTTAATTTTAGTGGCATGCCAGCAGTTTGAGAAGTGTGTTACAGATGTAACAGAGAGGAAAAGAAGAAAGAGGATGCAATAAAAAAAAGAAGCAGGAACAGAAAGCAAGACATCATCTTCTTGGATCTCTACAGAAGGAGGGAATGAAATAAATAGGAGGTAAACAAGACCTTCAGAATTTCTTGTTTTGATGTTTGTAGAGGACACTGAACTCTGCAAATAAAGGTTAAGTGTTTCACACTGACAGGAGCAGTCCTCAGTATTACATGCACAGCAGTAGGCAGTGGTTGCAGTACTAATGGGTTAATTTTGCTGGAAACTTTAAAAACAGTTGACAAAGGCAAGGAGGAGAGAACAGAAAGTAAATCCAGTGTGCTTCTTGGCTTTTTTTCTGCTTAGGTATACGAATGCTGGATGGAATAGTCACCGATGCTATTGAAGCCAGTTCAATCGGTTTCAATCCAGAGCACGTGGATATTTACAGTGCAAGCTGGGGCCCTAACGATGATGGAAAAACTGTGGAGGGACCTGGGAGACTGGCACAGAAGGCTTTTGAGTATGGGATAAACCAGGTACGATACTTAAGGGAAAGATACGGTAAAACGTGGCAGAGAGCAGCATTTTAAAAGGGTTGATATCAAGGAAGAAATGAAAATGGTTTGTGCTGCCTTTGCACAAAGATATTGAAAGTGTACAGGATATATTTCAGTAGTACAAGTCAGAGAAATTTCCCAGAACAGGGCTTTTGATAAAAGACCACTAGGGCTTTCTAAACTGGTTTTAAACTGCTAATCTCCACAGATAAGCTTTCTTTTTCCAACCTTACTTTTACTACCTTTGTCTTGACCTACCCCCACCCTTCTCTGCTGCCTGTTTTGCACTGAACAGTAATTGGATTTCTGGACTGAAAGCCTATAAAATTTAATGCAAAATTTCTGCTTCATGAATATTTTGCTGTGTGAAATAGTGATGCATTTTAGCACACTGTGGATGAGCTTAGATTGTGTTAATGACATTAATTTATAAATTGCTGCTTATCATGATCCAGTTAAAAATCACTATAGTAAAAATGCATCGTGAAGAGTACTGGAAGCAATATTTTTGCAGTTATATTGTTATGTTACACTCTTTAGATCTGATTGGATGACAAATAGGGTGAAAACTGAGACCAGCCAGAAAAGGCTAAGGTTCTTAATGACTTCTTTTCCTCAGTCTTCAACTCCAAGTGCTCCAGCCACCCTGACCAGGCCAAAAAGGGTAAAGATAGAGACTGGGAGGATGAAACCCCTAAACTCACTGTAGAAGAGGATCAGGTTCAAGACCATCTCAGGAACCTGAATGTGCACAAGACCATGGGCCCTGATGAGGTTCATCCTCAGGTCCTGAGGGAACTGATGGATATGGTTTCTAAGCCACTATCTATAATTTTCCTGAAATCATGGCAATCAGGTGAAGTCCCCGATGACTGGTAAAAGGGAAACATAACCCCCAATTTCCAACAAGGGAAAGCAGAAGAAACAGGGAACTATAGACCAGTCAGTCTCACATCTGTGCCTGGCAAGATCACAGAGCAGATTCCACCTGGAAGCTATGCTTAGGCACATGGAAAGCAAAGAGGTCACAAAGTTGCTAAGAGGACTGGAGCATCTCCCCTGTGAGGACAGGCTGAGGAAGTTGGAACTGTTCAGCCTGGAGAAGAGAAGACAGTGTGGAGACCTCATAGCAACTTTTCAATATCTGAAGGGCCTACAAGGGATCTGGAGAGGGACTCTCTGTTAGGAACTGCAATGATAGGACAAGGGGTAATGGGTCAAACTGAAGGAGGGAAAGCCTAGGTTAGATGTGAGAAAAATATTTTTCCCTGTGAGGGTGGTGAGACACTGGCATGGTTTGTCCAGGGATGTGGTGGCTGCCCCAACCCTGGCAGTGTTCAAGGCCAGGCTGGATGAGGCCTTGAGCAACCTGATCTAGCGAGGAGGTGTCCCTGCCCATGGCAGGGGGTTGGGACTAGATAATCTGTGACGTCCATTCCAACCCTTAAATTCTATGATTCTAGGATTTATGAATAAACTGCTCTTGCTCTTGGCAGTAAGGTGAAAAAATATCTAAAGATGAACAAGTACTAATATAGAGAGGTAGACTGAATCAGAGATGGGAGGTGAGAGAAATTGAGGAAAGGCTGAAGCATAGAAGCAAAGAGAAACAATTTTGGAAAAAGGGCGGTTTACATTACTAGACTGAAGAAAAAAAAGAATGAAAAGTCTGACAGTTGACAAAAGGACTCTGAGGGAAGAATGGAGACCAAGAGGAGTGGGCTGGTAACAAAGAGAGATCTGTGCCCATAGGTAGGCAGCAAGAGAAGAGGGAGAATTCTATAATTAGGCAGCAAATGATCCATTCTGAAAAAGCAGGTTCTTTTTTGAAGGATGTATCTGTTTTTTACACCTTGTTTTAGTTCTCATGGGGAGAAAATTTACCCATTTGCTAGTCAGGCTTCCTTTTGCAAGGGTCTGGCTGATCTCCACTGTACTTAAAGTGAGCCAGAGTTGGGACTGACAATGACTTTCGAACCCTGGATCATTCATTGCTCGTCTGGAAAAGCACCTGAGCACATGTTTAGCCTCAAGCATCTTACAGGTGGTAGTATCACTCAGAGCAAGTGTTGAGATACACCAGTGCTTTTCCAGACTGCGACTTTTATTCTCAAAGACACTGTCTCATTTTCAGTAGTTGACATGGCTCATCCTTCTCAATTTAACAGTTGTATCACACAAAAGTGCAGCTTACTTTACTTTACTTTTAATGATTTACATGCTGCAAGTGTCTTAGCACTTGCATAAATAACTTCAAATCTCATCTGGGTGGGATGATAAAAATCTGTGTTTCAACTGCTTTTTCTTGTGAATACACTTATGTTAATACTGAATTACATAGGAATTTTTGCTTGCCACATGTAATGGATTTTGTTCCCCTGAAGGACTAGCTCAGCTTAAGACTGGATAGGGTGATGTGTTTCCTCTGTGGCAGCTGTGATGGTTGACATGCTGTCAGCTGCCAGCATCAATTGTTGGCTGCTGCTCCCTCACTGTGCACTGGACGCCAGAGCAGGATTATGTCTGGAGACTGGTGATTCTGGCCCACAGATCTGTGAGAGAAGAGAGGGTTTTCAATATATACATCCTTCATGGTGCTTACTCATACTTCTGTGGTTACAGGAAAAGCAAATGGAATAATTCCTGATAAACTTGCAATTTTCTTTGTTTTTTTTTTTAAAAAAGGGGATTTATTCCTAGCAATGGTCAGGATCAAAACATCAGCATCTGGGAAAATCTACCTGTTGAACACAGGGCCTGTTTTTAACTTAAAAACCTGTTCTGAGGAAAGTTGCTGAACCTGGAACTCTAAACCTAGGCCAGTCAGACTAAGATATGCTGTAGGGTGAATAAGTAGGCTGTCTCAAACAGCTGGTTTCTTCTGTCACTGTCTTCTACAGTAGTTATGGAAATGTGCCCTTTTCCTCCTAAAAATGTTTGCTGTACTAGGCTTTTGGGGGGAAGGAGTTGTTAGGGATACATTGCAGGGTCTGAAATCTCTTTGCTAACCCCTCCTTTCCATTTTCTCTAGGGCCGAAATGGGAAAGGCTCCATTTTTGTTTGGGCTTCAGGGAATGGAGGTCGTCAGGGAGACAACTGCGACTGTGATGGTTACACTGATAGTATCTACACTATCTCCATCAGCAGTGCTTCTCAGCAAGGGCTTTCTCCCTGGTATGCAGAGAAGTGCTCTTCAACTCTGGCCACAGCATACAGCAGTGGGGATTATACTGACCAAAGAATTGTAGGTTGTTTTTACCAGTTTCAGAAGAAATAGAAATGTGTTCTGTTTGCAAATAATGAGTGAGAGCTCTGAAATGCTTGGTTTCAAGTGGCTGCTTTATGTTATGTGTTACACGCTTAGTGCTTTTGCCTAGAAACTTTGTGGGATTTGTTCCAGAAATGCCGTCACTTTTTTGATTACATCTTCTACTCTAAAGCAGTAGTTAAACAAAATCATTGTTTCAATGCAGCTAAACCAACGTGCTGAATTTGTCTGCTGTTTGCGAATGCTATTTGTGTGTAGAAGTTTGATAGGGTCCCATTCTTCAGAAAGGGCAAATAAAGAGAGACTCAGAGTAAGAAGAGAAAGAACCTGCGAAGTCAGATCCTCTGATGTACCTTGCCATTATCTTTTGTAAGACAGACACAGCAATAACAGTGCTTCAAAACCTGTAAGAGGTGCTCAGCAAGCAGGCATATCAGTCTGTGTGCCTTCTTAACAGTGTGAGAAATAACTTGTGCTGAAGAAAATTGCTGTGATAAAATAACATTGAAATACCTGTAATTTCTGTTCAACCCTGGTGGATGCTAATTGTACAACACACTGCATTGATGTGGATTAAAACCATTTCATTCCAAGTTAGTCAGGAGATCAGTCCTTCCTAAGTGGCTTCTCTTTATAGTTGAGATGTAGACACACAGTCTGAGGAGTTTGGTATTTAATTTCCAAATAAAGAACATGTTTCATTGCAAATTATAGTTCTTCTGCTGAAGAGGGAGCAGAACACCAATACTAAGCCTATGAGTAATTTTCTAGCAAGCAGTAATTTTAAATGTTCTAGGCCCAACACAATGATCTGTATTTATGATTCACCAGAAATGCTGAAACACTTATTGTGAAACCTTAGAATAAGAGAAGATATTCAGTGTGGGAGTATTTTGCTCCAACACAAAGCATTTTGATACAAAAATTATAGTTGAAGAAAAAAGAGTGGATTGAAATATGAGCAGATTTAAGCATCCATTGCTATTTCTGCTGGTGGGGAATGTATTAATACACACCAAGTAAAGGTTACGTGGTTCTGTTTGTGAGTGTGGATATGACTGTATTTGTAACTGTTTATTCATGCAGTCTGAGTTTGTTTTTTTGTTTTCTTTTGGCTTTTTTTTTTGGTCAGACAAGTGTTGATCTTCACAATGAATGTACAGAGACTC